TTTTTTTACGGTCTTCTCTATCCAAGAACTGAATACATAATGAAGTATAGGGCTGTGCGGAAATTTTACCGACATAAAAGATATCAAAAAACGGGCAAGGAATATTTCACAATAGTGCAAATGATCGTGAAAGATGATCGCGAAAAAGCGATTGCGTGACGCTCGGTAAGTCGTAAGATGACTTGTTATCACGTATCCGACGAAAAAACAGTTAAGATTATCAGTCTGCGTTTTGTACCCAGTCTGCAGTTTACGGTCTGCAGTCTGCAGTCTACATTCTGTTGTTAGTCAGCATTTTGTACCCGGTCTGCAGTCTGCATTTTGTATTAACTGTATTCCCTCCCCTCCCCTCCCCCTCACCGACTGCAAAAGTAAGCTCTTGGAGTTGCGAGTAATGTCTTCGGCGGCAAAAATAAACTCGAAGCAAAAAAATGAATGTGAGGGTGGAGGATTCAATTGGAGAAAACCTTTCCACAGGAGTTTAAATAATAAAGAGCTGCGCGAATTTGTTAAATAAATTACACTTACAACAAACATCAATTCGGCCACCAGTCGCTGATCGTAGCTTTGCAGCTAAGAATCGAAAACAATATCCACGTTTACCTCTAGTTCAAAACACAAATAAAACTTTTCATGCAATAGCGTCAAAATTCTTAAACTTGTCTGACCTCAAAGCCTCAAAACATTTCGAAAAAATAGCCTTGAACAGCACTTCAGCGAAAATGAACAACGGCAAAGTTCTTTACAACGGACATTGTATTCTGTCAATAGCCCGGAAAGTTTTTGAGTAACTGTAATAAAAACATGTGCTCAAATCGAAATTTTCTTACCTGTTTATAATCAGCGATGGCAAATTTATGATATGAGCAACCTCTAAGACTTGCAAGTAAATTACTTTGCGAACATAGACCACTACAGCCGTCACTTCGGGATCTGCCAAACGGTTCCCCAGAAGTTCCCAGTCCCTCGCAACGCGCTATTTTTATTAGTACAATGCTTCCTCGCTTCCTGTGCTTTGAAGTTCTTTTCGTTTTAGTTTCGTTATTTGGGTTTTTCTTTTTCCAAATGCTTTTTCTCAAACGTCACCAACTGTATCCGGTTAAAAACTCTCTAAAAAATCTTAGGGTAGTAAATATTTTAAAGGGGCTATCTTCGGGATACGGGATAATCGAAGAAAAAATTCTGGGATATGGGATACTCAAAAAGGAACAGCTCGTAAAAGCGATCCCACAAATGTTCGCACATCTAAGGAGTGATCGAAAATTTTTGTGTTCCACAACTAATCGCCTACATCACAATCAGCAAATGAATGTATTCTGTTCAAAGACAGCGAAACTCAATACCACTGGTTCCACTTCTGTTAGAGAAGAAAATGCCAGACACCCTTCCTGTTATGATCCTCATTTTGAGATCTGATCATTCAGAAAAACTATCAACTTACTGCTCTTGTAATGATGTGTGAAGATCACGTTACCGGAGTCTATCTGATAGGACGTTCTATTTGATGTTAAAATTCTATCGAAGTCACGGATCATCGCTTCAATATCCGATCCACGATGAAAGGCGTTGAGCAGCTTTAACTTTCCAGTGTTTACTACTAAAACTTTTCGCTATTCGCATATAAGATTTTACCATTCATAATGGACTATTTAATGCGATCTACAAACGTTCATACCTTCCATTGGTCCCAATAAAAAATAGTGTGGACATTGTTCCTCTGCGAAGTTAAATAGATTTGCATAGAGCACACATTAAAACGTGTCAATTATCATATCTTGATTGTTACTCAGTCTTGCGTTACTGACCGAAGACAAAAGAATACATAATCCCGTCACGCTTTATGCATAGTACACGCTATGTGCATTGCACGTGCACATGACTAGTTTTTGCCATTATTTTGCCACTATACGCTTGTTGGTTGCTAATAAAATCAATTTACCTTTGCTATATATTTTGTGTTATTGCTTTATTATTCTTTGTTGGCCACACCTGTAATTTAGTTCTTTACCCTGCAAGAAGGTCTACATAAACAAAACACAACCATTATGACCTGCCGAAGATGAAGACTTGAGTAAAATGTCACATACATGCAATCTAAACAGATACATATCTACAAAGTTCATTCAAGATGCAGTAAACTCAAACTATGCAGGTAAAAACTAAGTTTAAAGACATCTTGGAAAGGATGTTAGCTTTACGTAAAAACTCACCTTCCCCCCCCCC